GCCTCTGTCGCACAGCACTGTACTCCAAGCCCACTGATGCTGTAGCGCTCACATAGCGGACCAACCTCTTGGCCGCTTCCAGCTGCTCATGACTTGGGCATGAAACCACACTCGCAAGCCTAGATGTAGCAAAGGCAATGTCAGGCCGCGTGTGGTCAGCCGCATAGTTGAGTGCCCCCACCATGGAGTGAAACAACTTCCTGTCACTCTCCCCCACCACCTCCTCATCAGCACAGGGCTCCACAGTGAACCCCGAAGGCAGTGGGGTGGCTGGCTTTCCTGCATCTTGCAGCCCATACTTCTCAGCCAGCCCCTCACAATACTTCCTCTGGTGCAACCTCAACACTCCCTTGTCAAGGTCCCTCTCCACATGCATCCCAAGGTAGTACTTCACATCTCCCATCTTGGAGCACTTGAACTGCATTTCCAGCATCTCCTCCACACGTTCAATCATCGCAGATGACTCAGAGAAGAGCAGGAAGTCATCCACGTACACCAGGAGCATGAGGAACTGCTCCTTCTCTTGCAGCAGGAACAGGCTGTGATCACACTCGCTCTTCTTGAACCCCCCGGCCAGCAGTGTCTCCTCCAGCTTGTGGTACCATGCGCGAGGAGCCTGCTTCAGGCCATAGATGGCCTTCTTCAGCCTGCACACCCTGCCGCTCCCATCGTCCAACCCCTCAGGCTGCAGCATGTACAGCTCCTCCAGAATGATTCCATTGAGGAAGGCAGTGATTATGTCCATCTGCTTGATCTTCCAGCCACGGTTTGCAGCCATTGCCAACATCGTCCTCAGTGTAGTGCCTTTCCCCACAGGAGCAAAGATATCATCAAAATCCTTCCCCTTTGTCTGCTAGAACCCCTTAGCCACAAGCCTTGACTTGTAGCGGGTCAGCTCCCCATCAGGTCCGTACTTGTGCCTGAAAATCAGCTTGGAAGAAATGGCCTTCTTCCCTGGTGGCAACTCACACAGCTCCCACGTCTCGTTCTCCAGCAGAGAGTCATACTCCTCCTTCACACTCTGCTTCCACTTCTCAGCATCGGGCCCACTCAAGGCCTCGGTAAGTGTCTTGGGCTCAGGGACGGCTGCCCAGTAGCAGTGTGCTATCTCCTCCTCATCACACTGCTCAGCCACACTCCCAGCCCTTACCACACTTGGCTTCCCAAAGCTCGGATAGGTCAGCCGGTTAGGAGGGCGCACATCCCTCCTTGGACGGTCAGCCGGACGTGCGGCACCTTGTGGAGCATCTTGCTGCTGCTGCTGCTGCTGCACCTCAGGTTCTCCCCCATCCTCAGTCACCCCAGAAATCTCCTCCTCTGAGACAGTGACCTGCACTTGCCTCGAAGGCCGCTGCACCTCATCAGCCTCAATGATCAGCGGTGTAGTAGGGAGCTTCTGCTGCTGCTGCTGCTTCCACTCCTTATAGTACAAGGACTCAAGGAACTTCACATCCCTTGACACAGTCAGCTGCTGGCTGGTCAAGTCCCAAATCAGCCAGCCCTTGTGATCCTTAGCAAGCCCCAAGTGCACACCCCATCTCCCAGAAGCTTCCAGTTTTCCCCTCTTCTCCTTAGACACATGAAACACCACCATGCATCCAAAGGCTCTCAGCATGTTCACAGCTGGTGCACTCCCATACCACTTGGTGTAGGGGACCCACTGCTTGTCCCCCACTGTTGCCAGCACCCTGTTCTTCACAAGGGCGACCTGCCGCAGTGCAGTCACCCAAAACGGATCTGGCAGCCCTGCACGCCCAAGGAGAGTGCGAGCACCTTCCTGCAGGGTCCGGTTGAACCGCTCAGCCACACCGTTCTGTTGCGGGTTGTAGGGCACTGTGAGCTGATGCTGGATCCCCTTCCGCTTCAGCTCCTTCTCAAAATCAGCGCCGATGAACTCTCCTCCGTTGTCGGTGCGGATAACCTTCACCTTGAGTCCGCTCTCCCTTTTTGCTCTCGGCATCCACTCCTTGAGAACAGCCGCTGCCACCTCCCCCTTAGTCTTCAGAGGGTAGACCCACACTGCACGTGTGTGGTCGTCCACAATGGTCAAGAAGTAGCGGCTGCCTGAGAGAGAAAGGGCCCTTGTGGGGCCCACCACATCCATGTGCACAAGCGCGAGTGGAACCTTGGCTGGTCCCGTGCTGCTGCTGAAAGGGAACTTGGTGAACTTTGTCTCAAGGCATGTAGGGCAGCTCCCAATCTCCTTCGCTGCCCCCTTCACCTCCAATCCCTTCAAGCTCCCATCCTTCACCAACTTCTGCAGCATAGGAATGTTGATGTGGCACAGCCTCTCGTGCCACGTCTCCCAATCGGCCTCACCACTCCCAGACGAAGCCTTTGCCCATGCAGCCGTTGCATCCATACCAGCAAGCACCTCACCATGTGATTGCTGTGGCTGCTGCACCTTCTTGACTGCATCCAGGGCCCCAGCAGTTGGTGCAGTCTCCTCTCCTCCCGCAGTTGCCTTAGCCGCTGCCGCTGCCTTTGCCGTTGCTGGTGGTTTCCCATTCCAAGGGATGATGGGCAGCTGCCACATGTCCTTGATGCAGCTGCTCTTCTCCTCCAAATCCCACAGCAGCAACTTCCCAAGCTTTGCACGGCAGCTGGTTGGGCCGAACGTAACTTTGGCCTTGCTTTTCTGCAGCCGGCGCACAGAGAGGAGGTTAGCGGATAAACCTTCAACCAACAGCACATTTCCCAGCCCCACAAGCCCCCCATTAGCTCCCATAACCTTGGCATTCCCAACACCAATCACAGGGAGCAAGGCACCTGAAGCGGCAGCCACAAACTTTATCTTCCCAGGGGGCTTCACCTCATCAAGCAAATCTGCCCGTGGAGTCATGTGACTTGTGCAACCTGAATCTATCACCCAGTGGGTGAGGGGGTGCATCACAACCTTCCCAACAGAGCCCACATCACCCTCACTCCCTTTCACATCCTCAACCATGAGGAACATCCCAGGGTCGGCTTTACCTTGTGCACCATCACCTTGTGCACCTGAACCTTGCACAGCGCCACCTCGTGCACGTTCACCACTTGGCGGCTTCATGCCTGGAGACGCCCATCCTTCAGGCCGGCTGAAACACTTGAACCACGGGTGTCCAGCCTTCTTGCAGTACCAGCACGCACCCTCCATTCGGGTGCTCCCCCTGCCACCAGAGCTCCCATGCCCCTCGTTGTAGTCACCTCGGCCTCTTCCTCTGCCAAAGCCTCTCCCACGGCCTCGGCCTCTCCCTCCCCCTCTTCCTCTGCTGCCTCATGCAGCTCCATACCCCTCAGCAGTTTTGTTGGCAGCACCACCTCCCGTGTGGCGCCTGCGGAAGTCCTCCTGCAGAATCTGCTGCCGTAGCCACTCAGGCGTCCATTTGTCCTGCTGAACGTTGAGGGTGGGGATGAGGTTGTCCCACGAGTTATCGAGCACCGAGATGATCTTGGTGCACTGTTGCATCTGCGACACTTCGCTGCCCGCCGCTGCCATCCTCGCATAGGTGTCCTTGATCTTGTCAAGGACCGGTTTCACATCATCTCCTGGTTTCATGGAGAGAGCAGCCAACTCCTTCTCCAACACAATCACCATCGGCAGCGTGTTGGGCTGAATCACGTCGCGCAGCAGCTTCCATGCCTTCGGTCCGGAATCATCCAACTCCACCAAATCCTTGATGTGCTGGAACATGTCGTTGTTGACCGATTGGAGGATGAGGTCGTACAGCACCGCGCTCTTCTCAATCCACCGATCGCGGGCATCTCCTTCCCCCGGCATCTTCTCCTCTCCCATTGCAATTTTCAGCAGCTTGTAGCGCTTGAAGGCGCTCCGCATCCGCCCGCTCCACTCCTCATAGTTGGAGCCATCCAAAGCTTCGATCTTGGATGGTGGCGGTTCACTCCTCTTCTCAGCTGCATCTCCACTCCCTTGATTCATCTCCTCTGCTCCCAATCAGAGGTTTCAGCTCCCCCCTTTGCTGTTCACAATGTAGATCCACACAATCTTCACAAGTGTCGGCGCCAACGAAATTTCGGCAGAGTTTCCCCTTAGCGGAAGTCACATCCAACCTCTAGAACTCCACTTAGGCACGCCCACAGGCCATGGTGGGTCTAGGAGGGTCTTCACACCTCAGTAGACTCTTCACAAGGTCCTCAATCGCTCTGATACCACTTGTTAGAGACTAAGGACGGAGTCTAGAAGCTTAGGAGCCGAAATTATCACAAAATCGTTGGCTTAGAATTCTGGACAGAAACGTCGACTTCACAAGAGACGTTGTCGACGACAGGTGCACCGTTAGAATCCCACGAATTTCGCATATGTTGTAGCCCTAGACCGTGGCTACATTTCCCAATTTGAATCGTATCAAAATATGAAGTATATCTCGAGTTATGCTTTTCGGCGCACTAGGGGGTATGCTGCCACAGAAATTTAACTCAATCACAATTAACTCAACAAGTCCCACAAAAGAACATTGGAGTAGCACTAAACCAGGTAGGAAGGGAAGAGGAGGACGAGAGGGAAGGCCCCAAGGGAGTCCCCAACCAAGGAAACCCCATACCACACAATTCCCTTCCCCATAGGCAACAAACTTTGACCTTTGTCACTTTCCAACCCATGCCATCCACCTCACCCCAACTTGGCCACACTTGCCAACCTGGTTTGGCTTCACCCAACCTCTTGGCAGCATCTACAGTGATGGGTTCGAATTTCCCAACCCCAAAAGTCTATACCCCATAATGAGTCAACCCCACAACTTCCAAAGTAGCTGCAACCAAAATATATAAGCATACGAACTCCAATGTTCGTAACTTTCTTGGTTGTGCTCCGATCGCGACGATTCTTGGTTCGTCGGAAAGCTTTTGAGCAGAGGAATCACTTCAGATATCTGCTCAAGCCAAATAACATTCACACACACACAGACAATCCAAACCACACAAGACACAAATTTCTTGCACACGCTCACACCACGCATGCAACGCACAAACACATGATGGGAGGCAGACAGACGTGAATGCATATGGTTGCATCACACAACAATGCCTTCCCCCTCTCATGCCTTCCCCCTCTCATGCCTTCCCCCTCTCATGCCTTCCCCCTCTCATGCCTTCCCCCTCTCATGCCTTCCCCCTCTCATTGCCTTCCCCCTCTCATGCCTTCCCCCTCTCATGCCTTCCCCCTCTCATGCCTTCCCCCTCTCATGCCTTCCCCCTCTCATGACTTCCCCCTCTCATGCCTTCCCCCTCTCATGCCTTCCCCCTTTCATGCCTTCCCCCTCTCATACCTTCCCCCTCTCATGCCTTCCCCCTCTCATGCCTTCCCCCTCTCATGCCTTCCCCCTCTCATGCCTTCCCCCTCTCATGCCTTCCCCCTCTCATGCCTTCCCCCTCTCATGCCTTCCCCCTCTCATGCCTTCCCCCTCTCATGCCTTCCCCCTCTCATGACTTCCCCCTCTCATGCCTTCCCCCTCTCATGCCTTCCCCCTTTCATGCCTTCCCCCTCTCATGCCTTCCCCCTCTCATGCCTTCCCCCTCTCATGCCTTCCCCCTCTCATGCCTTCCCCCTCTCATGCCTTCCCCCTCTCATTCCTTCCCCCTCTCATGCCTTCCCCCTCTCATGCCTTCCCCCTCTCATGCCTTCCCCCTCTCATGCCTTCCCCCTCTCATGCCTTCCCCCTCTCATGCCTTCCCCCTCTCATGCCTTCCCCCTCTCATGCCTTCCCCCTCTCATGCCTTCCCCCTCTCATGCCTTCCCCCTCTCGTGCCTTCCCCCTCTCGTGCCTTCCCCCTCTCGTGCCTTCCCCCTCTCATGCCTTCCCCCTCTCATGCCTTCCCCCTCTCATGCCTTCCCCCTCTCATGCCTTCCCCCTCTCATGCCTTCCCCCTCTCATGCCTTCCCCCTCTCATGCCTTCCCCCTCTCGTGCCTTCCCCCTCTCGTGCCTTCCCCCTCTCGTGCCTTCCCCCTCTCGTGCCTTCCCCCTCTCGTGCCTTCCCCCTCTCGTGCCTTCCCCCTCTCATGCCTTCCCCCTCTCATGCCTTCCCCCTCTCATGCCTTCCCCCTCTCATGCCTTCCCCCTCTCATGCCTTCCCCCTCTCATGCCTTCCCCCTCTCATGCCTTCCCCTCTCATGCCTTCCCCCTCTCATGCCTTCCCCCTCTCATGCCTTCCCCCTCTCATGCCTTCCCCCCTCTCATGCCTTCCCCCTCTCATGCCTTCCCCTCTCATGCCTTCCCCTCTCATGCCTTCCCCCTCTCATGCCTTCCCCCTCTCATGCCTTCCCCCTCTCATGCCTTCCCCCTCTCATGCCTTCCCCCTCTCATGCCTTCCCCCTCTCATGCCTTCCCCCTCTCATGCCTTCCCCCTCTCATGCCTTCCCCCTCTCATGCCTTCCCCCTCTCATGCCTTCCCCCTCTCATGCCTTCCCCCTCTCATGCCTTCTCACCCTTCTCATGCCTTCCCCCTCTCATGCCTTCCCCCTCTCATGCCTTCCCCCTCTCATGCCTTCCCCCTCTCATGCCTTCCCCCTCTCATGCCTTCCCCCTCTCATGCCTTCCCCCTCTCATGCCTTCCCCCTCTCATTGCCTTCCCCCTCTCATGCCTTCCCCCTCTCATGCCTTCCCCCCTCTCATGCCTTCCCCCTCTCATGCCTTCCCCCTCTCATGCCTTCCCCCTCTCATGCCTTCCCCCTCTCATGCCTTCCCCCTCTCATGCCTTCCCCCTCTCATGCCTTCCCCCTCTCATGCCTTCCCCCTCTCATGCCTTCCCCCTCTCATGCCTTCCCCTCTCATGCCTTCCCCCTCTCATGCCTTCCCCCTCTAATGCCTTCCCCCTCTCATGCCTTCCCCCTCTCATGCCTTCCCCCTCTCATGCCTTCCCCCTCTCATGCCTTCCCCCTCTCATGCCTTCCCCCTCTCATGCCTTCCCCCTCTCATGCCTTCCCCCCTCTCATGCCTTCCCCCTCTCATGCCTTCCCCCTCTCATGCCTTCCCCCTCTCATGCCTTCCCCCTCTCATGCCTTCCCCCTCTCATGCCTTCCCCCTCTCATGCCTTCCCCCTCTCATGCCTCCCCCTCTCATGCCTTCCCCCTCTCATGCCTTCCCCCTCTCAGCTTCCCCCTCTCATGCCTTCCCCCTCTCATGCCTTCCCCCTCTCATGCCTTCCCCCTCTCATGCCTTCCCCCTCTCATGCCTTCCCCCTCTCATGCCTTCCCCCTCTCATGCCTTCCCCCTCTCATGCCTTCCCCCTCTCATGCCTTCCCCCTCTCATGCCTTCCCCCCTCTCATGCCTTCCCCCTCTCATGCCTTCCCCCTCTCATGCCATGCCTTCCCCCTCTCATGCCTTCCCCCTCTCATGCCTTCCCCCTCTCATGCCTTCCCCCTCTCATGCCTTCCCCCTCTCATGCCTATCCCCCTCTCATGCCTTCCCCCTCTCATGCCTTCCCCCTCTCATGCCTTCCCCCTCTCATGCCTTCCCCCCTCTCATGCCTTCCCCCTCTCATGCCTTCCCCCTCTCATGCCCTTCCCCCCTCTCATGCCTTCCCCTCTCATGCCTTCCCCCTCTCATGCCTTCCCCCTCTCATGCCTTCCCCCTCTCATGCCTTCCCCCTCTCATGCCTTCCCCCCTCTCATGCCTTCCCCCTCTCATGCCTTCCCCCTCTCATGCCTTCCCCCTCTCATCCCCCTCTCATGCCTTCCCCCTCTCATGCCTTCCCCCTCTCATGCCTTCCCCCTCTCATGCCTTCCCCCTCTCATGCCTTCCCCCTCTCATGCCGTTCCCCCTCTCATGCCTTCCCCCTCTCATGCCTTCCCCCCCTCTCATGCCATTTCCCCCTCTCATGCCTTCCCCTCTCATGCCTTCCCCCTCTCATGCCTTCCCCCTCTCATGCCTTCCCCCTCTCATGCCTTTCCCCTTTCTCATGCCTTCCCCTCTCTCATGCCTTCCCCCTCTCATGCTTTCCCCCTCTCATGCCTTCCCAATCTCATGTCTTCCCCTCTCTGCCTTCCCCCTCTCATGCCTGTTAGAGACTAAGGACGGAGTCTAGAAGCTTAGGAGCCGAAATTATCACAAAATCGTTGGCTTAGAATTCTGGACAGAACCGTCGACTTCACAAGAAACGTTGTCGACGAAAGGTGCACTGTTAGAATCCCACGAATTTCGAATATATTGTAGCCCTAGACCGTGGGCTACATTTCACCATTTTAATCGTATCAAAATATGAAGTATATCTCGAGTTATGCTTTTCGGCACACTAGGGGGTATGCTGCCACAGAAATTTAACTCAATCACAATTAACTCAACAAGTCCCACAAAAGAACATTGGAGTAGCACTAAACCAGGTAGGAAGGGAAGAGGAGGACGAGAGGGAAGGCCCCAAGGGAGTCCCCAACCAAGGAAACCCCATACCACACAATTCCCTTCCCCATAGGCAACAAACTTTGACCTTTGTCACTTTCCAACCCATGCCATCCACCTCACCCCAACTTGGCCACACTTGCCAACCTGGTTTGGCTTCACCCAACCTCTTGGCAGCATCTACAGTGATGGGTTCGAATTTCCCGACCCCAAAAGTCTATACCGCATAATGAGTCAACCCCACAACTTCCAAAGTAGCTGCAACCAAAATATATAAGCATACGAACTCCAATGTTCGTAACTTTCTTGGTTGTGCTCCGATCGCGACGATTCTTGGTTCGTCGGAAAGCTTTTGAGCAGAGGAATCACTTCAGATATCTGCTCAAGCCAAATAACATTCACACACACACAGACAATCCAAACCACACAAGACACAAATTTCTTGCACACGCTCACACCCCGCATGCAACGCACAAACACATGATGGGAGGCAGACAGACGTGAATGCATATGGTTGCATCACACAACAATGCCTTCCCCCTCTCATGCCTTCCCCCTCTCATGCCTTCCCCCTCTCATGCCTTCCCCCTCTCATGCCTTCCCCCTCTCATGCCTTCCCCCTCTCATGCCTTCCCCCTCTCATGCCTTCCCCCTCTCATGCCTTCCCCCTCTCATTGCCTTCCCCCTCTCATGCCTTCCCCCTCTCATGACTTCCCCCTCTCATGCCTTCCCCCTCTCATGCCTTCCCCCTTTCATGCCTTCCCCCTCTCATGCCTTCCCCTTCATGCCTTCCCCCTCTCATGCCTTCCCCCTCTCATGCCTTCCCCCTCTCATGCCTTCCCCCTCTCATGCCTTCCCCTCTCATGCCTTCCCCCTCTCATGCCTTCCCCTCTCATGCCTCCCCTCTCATGCCTTCCCCTCCTCATCCTCATGCCTTCCCCCTCTCATGCCTTCCCCCTCTCATGCCTTCCCCCTCTCATGCCTTCCCCCTCTCATGCCTTCCCCCTCTCATGCCTTCCCCCTCTCATGCCTTCCCCCTCTCATGCCTTCCCCCCTCTCATGCCTTCCCCCTCTCATGCCTTCCCCCTCTCATGCCTTCCCCCTCTCATGCCTTCCCCCCTCTCATGCCTTCCCCCTCTCATGCCTTCCCCCTCTCATGCCTTCCCCCTCTCATGCCTTCCCCCTCTCATGCCTTCCCCCCTCTCATGCCTTCCCCCTCTCAGTGCCTTCCCCCTCTCGTGCCTTCCCCCTCTCATGCCTTCCCCCTCTCGTGCCTTCCCCCTCTCGTGCCTTCCCCCTCTCGTGCCTTCCCCCTCTCGTGCCTTCCCCCTCTCATGCCTTCCCCCTCTCATGCCTTCCCCCTCTCATGCCTTCCCCCTCTCATGCCTTCCCCCCTCTCATGCCTTCCCCTCTCATGCCTCCCCTCTCATGCCTTCCCCCTCTCATGCCTTCCCCCTCTCATGCCTTCCCCCTCTCATGCCTTCCCCCTCTCATGCCTTCCCCCTCTCATGCCTTCCCCCTCTCATGCCTTCCCCCTCTCATGCCTTCCCCCTCTCATGCCTTCCCCCTCTCATGCCTTCCCCCTCTCATGCCTTCCCCCTCTCATGCCTTCCCCCCTCTCATGCCTTCCCCCTCTCATGCCTTCCCCCTCTCATGCCTTCCCCCTCTCATGCCTTCCCCCTCTCATGCCTTCCCCCTCTTCATGCCTTCCCCCTCTCATGCCTTCCCCTCCTCATGCCTTCCCCCTCTCATGCCTTCCCCCCTCTCATGCCTTCCCCCCTCTCATGCCTTCCCCCTCTCATGCCTTCCCCCTCTCATGCTCTTCCCCCTCTCATGCCTTCCCCCTCTCATGCCTTCCCCCTCTCATGCCTTCCCCCTCTCATGCCTTCCCCCTCTCATGCCTTCCCCCTCTCATGCCTTCCCCCTCTCATGCCTTCCCCCTCCCCTCTCATGCCTTCCCCCCTCTCATGCCTTCCCCCTCTCATGCCTTCCCCCTCTCATGCCTTCCCCCCTCTCCGTGCCTTCCCCCTCTCAGTGCCTTCCCCCTCTCATGCCTTCCCCCTCTCATGCCTTCCCCCTCTCATGCCTTCCCCCTCTCATTGCCTTCCCCCCTCTCATGCCTTCCCCCTCTCATGCCTTCCCCCTCTCATGCCTTCCCCCCTCTCATGCCTTCCCCCTCTCATGCCTTCCCCCTCTTCATGGCCTTCCTCCCCTCTCATGCCTTCCCCCTCTCATTGCCTTCCCCCTCTCATGCCTTCCCCCTCTCATGCCTTCCCCCTCTCATGCCTTCCCCCTCTCATTGCCTTCCCCCTCTCATTCCTTCCCCCTCCTCATGCCTTCCCCCTCTCATTGCCTTCCCCCCTCTCATGCTTCCCCCTTCTCATGCCTTCCCCCTCTCATGCCTTCCCCCCTCTCATGCCTTCCCCCCTCTCATGCCTTCCCCTCTCATGCCTTCCCCTCTCATGCCTTTCCCCTCTCATGCCTTCCCCCTCTCATGCCTTCCCCCTCTCATGCCTTCCCCCTCTCATGCCTTCCCCCTCTCATGCCCCTTCCCCCCTCTCATGCCTTCCCCCTCTCATGCCTTCCCCCTCATCTCATGCCTTCCCCCTCTCATGCCTTCCCCCTCTCATGCCTTCCCCCTCTCATGCCTTCCCCTCTCATGCCTTCCCCCTCTCATGCCTTCCCCCTCTCATGATGCCTTCCCCCTCTCATGCCTTCCCCCCTCTTCCTTCCCCCTCTCATGCCTTCCCCCTCTCATGCCTTCCCCCTCTCATGCCTTCCCCCTCTCATGCCCTTCCCCCCTCTCATGCCTTCCCCCTCTCATGCCTTCCCCCTCTCATGCCTTCCCCCTCTCATGCCTTCCCCCTCTCATGCTTTCCCCCTCTCATGCCTTCCCAATCTCATGTCTTCCCCCTCTCATGCCTTCCCCCTCTCATGCCTGTTAGAGACTAAGGACGGAGTCTAGAAGCTTAGGAGCCGAAATTATCACAAAATCGTTGGCTTAGAATTCTGGACAGAAACGTCGACTTCACAAGAAACGTTGTCGACGAAAGGTGCACTGTTAGAATCCCACGAATTTCGAATATATTGTAGCCCTAGACCGTGGCTACATTTCCCGATTTGAATCGTATCAAAATATGAAGTATATCTCGAGTTATGCTTTTCGGCGCACTAGGGGGTATGCTGCCACAGAAATTTAACTCAATCACAATTAACTCAACAAGTCCCACAAAAGAACATTGGAGTAGCACTAAACCAGGTAGGAAGGGAAGAGGAGGACGAGAGCGAAGGCCCCAAGGGAGTCCCCAACCAAGGAAACCCCATACCACACAATTCCCTTCCCCATAGGCAACAAACTTTGACCTTTGTCACTTTCCAACCCATGCCATCCACCTCACCCCAACTTGGCCACACTTGCCAACCTGGTTTGGCTTCACCCAACCTCTTGGCAGCATCTACAGTGATGGGTTCGAATTTCCCAACCCCAAAAGTCTATACCGCATAATGAGTCAACCCCACAACTTCCAAAGTAGCTGCAACCAAAATATATAAGCATACGAACTCCAATGTTCGTAACTTTCTTGGTTGTGCTCCGATCGCGACGATTCTTGGTTCGTCGGAAAGCTTTTGAGCAGAGGAATCACTTCAGATATCTGCTCAAGCCAAATAACATTCACACACACACAGACAATCCAAACCACACAAGACACAAATTTCTTGCACACGCTCACACCACGCATGCAACGCACAAACACATGATGGGAGGCAGACAGACGTGAATGCATATGGTTGCATCACACAACAATGCCTTCCCCCTCTCATGCCTTCCCCTCTCATGCCTTCCCCCTCTCATGCCTTCCCCCTCTCATGCCTTCCCCCTCTCATGCCTTCCCCCTCTCATGCCTTCCCCCTCTCATGCCTTCCCCCTCTCATGCCTTCCCCTCTCATGCCTTCCCCCTCTCATGCCTTCCCCCTCTCATGACTTCCCCTCTCATGCCTTCCCCCTCTCATGCCTTCCCCCTTTCATGCCTTCCCCCTCTCATGCCTTCCCCCTCTCATGCCTTCCCCCTCTCATTGCCTTCCCCTCTCATGCCTTCCCCCTCTCATAGCCTTCCCCCTCTCATGCCTTCCCCCTCTCATGCCTTCCCCCTCTCATGCCTTCCCCCTCTCATGCCTTCCCCCTCTCATGCCTTCCCCCTCTCATGCCTTCCCCCTCTCATGCCTTCCCCCTCTCATGCCTTCCCCTCTCATGCCTTCCCCCTCTCATGCCTTCCCCCTCTCATTGCCTTCCCCCTCTCATGCCTTCCCCCTCTCATGCCTTCCCCCTCTCATGCCTTCCCCCTCTCATGCGTCCCCTCTCGTGCCTTCCCCCTCTCATGCATTCCCCCTCTCGTGCCTTCCCCCCTCGTGCCTTCCCCCTCTCAGATGCCTTCCCCCTCTCGTGCCTTCCCCCTCTCGTGCCTTCCCCCTCTCGTGCCTTCCCCCTCTCATGCCTTCCCCCTCTCATGCCTTCCCCCTCTCATTGCCTTTCCCCCAGTCTCATGCCTTCCCCCTCTCATTCCTTCCCCCTCTCATTGCCTTCCCCTCGTCATGAGGCCTTCCCCCTCTCATCCTTCCTTCCCCCCCCTCTCATTGCCTTCCCCCCTCTCAATGCCTTCCCCCTCTCATGCCTTCCCCCTCTCATGCCTTCCCCTCTCATGCTTCCCCCTCTCATGCCTTCCCCCTCTCATGCCTTCCCCCTCTCATGCCTTCCCCCTCTCATGCTTCCCCCTCTCATGCCTTCCCCCTCTCATGGCCTTCCCCCTCTCATGCCGTATACCGCCCTCTCATGCCTTCCCCCTCTCATTGCCTTCCCCTCTCATGCCTTCCCCCTCTCATGCCTTCCCCCTCTCATGCCTTCCCCCTCTCATGCCTTCCCCCTCTCATGCCTTCCCCTTTCATCCTTCCCCCTCTCATGCCTTCCCCCTCTCATGCCTTCCCCCTCTCATGCCTTCCCCTCTCATGCCTTCCCCCTCTCATGCCTTCCCCCTCTCATGCCTTCCCCCCTCTCATGCCTCCCCCTCTCATGCCTTCCCCCCTCTCATGCCTTCCCCCTCTCATGCCTTCCCCCTCTCATGCCTTCCCCCTCTCATGCCTTCCCCTCTCATGCCTTCCCCCCTCTCATGCCTTCCCCCTCTCATGCCTTCCCCCTCTCATGCCTTCCCCCTCTCATGCCTTCCCCCTCTCATGCCTTCCCCTCTCATGCCTTCCCCCTCTCATGCCTTCCCCCTCTCATGCCTTCCCCCTCTCATGCCTTCCCCCTCTCATGCCTTCCCCCTCTCATGCCTCCCCCTCTCATGCCTTCCCCCTCTCATGCCTTCCCCCTCTCATGCCTTCCCCCTCTCATGCCTTCCCCCTCTCATGCCTTCCCCCTCTCATTCCTTCCCCCCTCTCATGCCTTCCCCCTCTCATGCCTTCCCCCCTCTCATGCCTTCCCCTCTCATGCCTTCCCCCCTCTCATGCCTTCCCCCTCTCATGCCTTCCCCCTCTCATGCCTTCCCCCTCTCATGCCTTCCCCCTCTCATGCCTTCCCCCTCTCATGCCTTCCCCTCTCATGCCTTCCCCCTCTCATGCCTTCCCCCTCTCATGCCTTCCCCCCCATGCCTTCCCCCTCTCCATGCCTTCCCCCTCCCATGCCTTCCCCCTCCATGCCTTCCCCCTCCCATGCCTTCCCCCTCTCATGCCTTCCCCCTCCATGCCTTCCCCCTCTCATGCCTTCCCCCTCTCATGCCTTCCCCCTCTCATGCCTTCCCCCTCTCATGCCTTCCCCCTCTCATGCCTTCCCCCTCTCATGCCTTCCCCCTCTCATGCCTTCCCCCTCTCATGCCTTCCCCCTCTCATGCCTTCCCCCTCTCATGCCTTCCCCCTCTCATGCCTTCCCCCTCTCATGCCTTCCCCCTCTCATGCCTTCCCCCTCTCATGCCTTCCCCCTCTCATGCCTTCCCCCTCTCATGCCTTCCCCCTCTCATGCCTTCCCCCTCTCATGCCTTCCCCCTCTCATGCCTTCCCCCTCTCATGCCTTCCCCCTCTCATGCCTTCCCCCTCTCATGCCTTCCCTCTCTCATGCCTTCCCCCTCTCATGCCTTCCCCCTCTCATTGCCCCCCCTCTCATGCCTTCCCCCTCTCATGCCTTCCCCTCTCATGCCTTCCCCCTCTCATGCCTTCCCCCTCTCATGCCTTCCCCCTCTCATGCCTTCCCCTCTCTATGCCTTCCCCCTCTCATGCCTTCCCCCTCTCTTCCTTCCCCCTCTCATGCCTTCCCCCTCTCATGCCTTCCCCCTCTCATGCCTTCCCCCTCTCATGCCTTCCCCCTCTCATGCCTTCCCCTCTCATGCCTTCCCCCTCTCATGCCTTCCCCCTCTCATGCCTTCCCCCTCTCATGCCTTCCCCCTCTCATGCCTTCCCCCTCTCATGCCTTCCCCCTCTCATGCCTTCCCCCTCTCATGCCTTCCCCCTCATGCCTTCCCCTCTCATGCCTTCCCCCTCTCATGCCTTCCCCTCTCATGCCTTCCCCCTCTCATGCCTTCCCCCTCTCATGCCTTCCCCCTCTCATGCCTTCCCCCTCTATGCCTTCCTTCTCTCATGCCTTCCCCCTCCCATGCTTCCCCTCCCATGCCTTCCCCCTCCCATGCCTTCCCCCTCCCATGTCTTCCCCCTCTCATGCCTCCCCCTCTCATGCCTTCCCCCTCCCATGCCTTCCCCCTCCCATGCCTTCCCCTCCCATGCCTTCCCCCTCCCATGCCTTCCCCCTCTCATGCCTTCCCCTCCCATGCCTTCCCCCTC